TAATAAAAAAAATGACCATGACCTAATCTACTTTAACCTAACCTAACCCCTATGTAGCATTAGTGTGTTTAATTATCAGGTAAAGTTAGCTGTGGGGCTAATCTTCATATGACCCCTAACGCTCAATCTAAACCAAACTTAATGTAACGAAAATGAACCTGATCTATTATTAACCGACTAAAATTACGTGAAAAAGTATTTCGTTATAATTATTAGTTTCTGCATGACAACATGGTGAGCTTGAAGTTATGTCCCGTAGAGTTGGTGGTGCGCGTCATCACTAAGAAATGTCTCGGGTTGACGTTTTCCATCCCTTTCAGGATTTTTAATGTTTCAATGAAATCTGTCCTCTTGTGTCCCGTCTGAAGGGTTGTTAGTCCTAAGGCCCTCAGTCGACTTGGATAATCGCGATAACATAGTTCCTTTTCTGGGGCTGTTAGATTTTTTTGGGAGTTAGTGTTTTCAGTAAAAGACTAGGCCGTACTTGATATTTGAATAGTTGAAGGCGCATTTGCCACTCTCGGGATCATTTGAGCAGCTCACTCACGTCTTCCTGCACTATTGCGACGTTATCCTTCACTTAGTCAGATCCAAACAAATGAAACGTTTGCTAACATAATTGAACCCAACCTGATTAAATCAAATTCATCTAACAAAAAAAAGTACGAAATATCACAGAACCAAATCGACAGAAGGCCAACCGGATCATTCTCAACATAATCAAATGCAACCAGTCTCACTATTTTCCAGTGTAAAGAAAAGTTAACCTGATTCTATAAAACCAATCTTATTTCCATTGTAAATTTAACCTGATTAACCAGAACAATCATATTTCTATTTTGAATTTACCCTTATTTAACCAAACCAATCCAAACCTTCTTCAGCCAAACAGAACATTATGTAATATAATCCACTTTGCTTACCGAATGGTCAGTATTCACTGTACTGCATCCAAGCCTATGTGACCCACATTTTCACCTGACTAGACCAACAAACCTGACGGTTATCTTGTACACACTGTACTTAAAAAATTCTCTGGCAGAAATAATAAAACCCGTTCAGGTGTACAAAACAAATCGAGGAAATGTACTGCAAAATTGCCCCTCCCCCAGCCGTCACCAACACATAGTCCCGACCTTCCCTGACCAAATATCCCTCCTCTTAGAGACAGGCCTGACACTTGACATTATTAGGGACCTGCCACGCTTTGCCATACAGATACAGAGGGAATGTACCTATCACTAGAAACCAGCAAACAAGGGTGGCAATGATGATCCCTCACTCTTGGCTGACTCAGCGTTGTTGATCTAGCAGCAGCCAGTCGCCTCCCAGATAGTAATACTGCCCTGCCAACCACACAGTAATAAAGGGATCATCATCGAAATAAACGACCATTGGTATTTATAATCTTGATTTTTACTGAGAACATGTGTCATCTGTAATAAGGTGAAATCAATTATCAAAAGTCCTATTGCTGAGTTAACTGCGTCTGCATATGTGCAGAGTTTGTGCGGTGGAGGTGCCAAGAGGGTTGAGGCGTCATGTTGAGTGTATAGCAACCCGCGACTTTCCTCAGTAACATTGTCAGCGAGAGCTTAGACTCACCTCAACGTAAACAGGCTTACTGATAAGTAAATAAAAGGTTGTGTATGGCTGTGATTTCACTAAAGAAAGGTAAAGAAAATGTCTAAAATGCGTATTGACAATGCAATGAAAAGTACCACAACTGCAAACGTGGGAAGTGTTAAACGCATGGAAAATGTAGAGGTGTTTATAAACAAAAAATGCATTGATATTGATGGAGATCTCGTCCAGCGGTTGTCAGGATGTACGCTGATGGAGAATGGTGGTACCTATAGTGTTGGGCGCGGCCGAGGTCGAAGATGGTCCAGCACCTCACCAATGGGACGTGACTCATCATCAAGGCGTTATCACAAGGCTTCCAGAGTATCGTCCATGGAACAAAACCGTCCTGAAGAGATCATGAAAACTCCTTCGTCGACGAGGGGAATAAGACGCCATTCCTCGAATTCTTCCCTGTGTCTGGCCGTGTCCGCAGCACCAGCACCAAGAGCCCAGAAAACTTCTTTGTCTCACGTCACACCCGCAGCGGCCCCATCAGGATCACAGAGGCAGAAAGGGTTGCAGGTGAAGAGGAAGAAGCAGGTCACAGCCACCAACTCCATACCACCTGTTAAACAACATTGTCAACCACGTCAACGTTCACTTCCACCTGTTATCACTCGGTTTAATTTTGCGCCGTAAGTCCATCAAAACATTATTACTTGTTTATACACATAGTTTAAGTTCTCCACTGTATTCATTTGGTGTGTTAATTTCTCTTATGACTTTGGACAGCTATGTTTTATGTTGGTATAGCTTACGGTATAAGTAAAGTTTATTTAATTGCTTTCATGTTTGTTTGAAGACTGAATGAACTGTTCATGTGGTGTTGTGAGCATCATTGATAGTGGCCTCATGAAACAACCGTCAGGAGTGAAGATGTTATGCTTCAGGCTTGTTACTGGTTATTGACAGAGTTCATTTAGTGCACACACACACACACACACACACACACACACACATATATATATATATATATATATATATATATATATATATATATATATATATATATATATATATATATATATATATATATATATATATATATATATATTCTTTGATCTGTGATATTTCTTTGGGTTATATCGATGCCTGAAGATGGCACTGATTGTCAAGAAACAATATTGATGCTGTGGGGTGACTGGGTGATATTTACAGTATAGGACAGGGGGTGTCGGTAACCAGCTTGTTTCTCCCTACACAGATCAATGAGTATATATTTATTGAGTACAATTTTCAAGTTTCCATTAATTTAGTATGTATATAGAAAATTCAGGTATATAATATACATAAACAGTAAGGGTATACTAACAATGGTAAGCAGTAAGTCGAGCACTAAGGCCCATACTTCGCTATAGGTTGGTCTTAACTTCATTAAAATAGGTTGCTCTTCATTGCAAAACCTCGGTATCAATGTGCCTGTTGCATATGTTGATCATGGTTCTCCATGCTGGATGATTTGCTGTCCAATAGTGTTCTGCACTCACACATCAAAGGAAAACCCACCTCATAATTTCCGAAATAACTAACTCTGTAGTCTATGGACAGTCTCTTCCTCAGTCTCTGCCATACATTAATTATCTGTAAACTGTCGGCTCCCTGCAAGTAGAATGGAGAGCTGGGTGATCATGTGTGATTTCTAATCTGTCCTCCAGGCCCTCTTCTCCCTTAAATCTAAACGACCCTTTGGTCCAACATACGTATAGCACGGCTCTTGGCTTTAACTCGTGAGAAGTCTGTTGTAACAATGTTTCTGGGGATTTCGTCTCATGTTGATTTAGCACACAATAATAAGGTTGACTCTCTCGCTAAAACTGCATGTCGTCTTACTCTCCCTGATGCTGGGACTATCCCTCCCCCCTGTGCTACAGAGAGAGAATATACGTTCTGCCACTTTTTTTTTCTATACAGTACATCCCTCGCAGGGCCCGCTAGCCTGTCTATTGGGCACTACGAACAGTTCTTCTCTTCCCATATAATTATCGTCGACGTGGACTCATAATTATGGTTCACAGATATTATTTTGGCTCGGCTCTTATTTGACTGGGATACAGACCCAGCTAACTGGTAAGTCTCTGAGACAGAGGATGTTCAACACTTCTCTCCCTTCAAACTGTGTAACAGACCCACATCTAAGTCTTCAACACTATTATCTCGATTGCCCCACTGTGAGTGATATTCTGCCTCAGGGTGAATCACTGATCACATTGTATCACCATTCACTTGTACCTGATACCCACATTTTGGAGGATGCTAGTTGAGGTTTTCTTATTGACCCCTTTAGTTATAGCCTCAAGTTTGTCACCATTTGGGATAATCTGATAGCTAACTAAATAATAATTCTCTTGTTGTCTTCTTATATTGTGATAGTCTGCATGTCTTCTTATGAGCCTGCTGCCCTTTGGGCTTGATTAATTAAAAAAAAAAGTATTTCGATTCATGTAAGTTCTATACTAATTCATTTCCTCGGTTTATCTTCTCACAATGGCCCCCAATATCTCCAGTTTTTCATGAAAACACACAACTGGATCTATAATTTTTTCTTCTTCACATTTGGTCTCAGACTGAGTCTCATTAACCAAGACCTTCAGTTAATGGTGTTTCTTCGTCACTGTGGACAATAGGAATCATAAAATTGTGTTCACAACCTTTAGTGTTATGCCTCGGTTGTTTCACTCTATCCGTTGCACTTAACATGTTTTGCGATTGAAGAATTTCGTGACCAACGTGATCTCTTGAGCAGCAAGAATAGTAGGTAATTGACATTGTATGAGCGCCAAGCAAAGGGTCTTCTTCAGTAAATTGGGGAATTACAGGGTAGCCTTTATTTTACGTCCAGAGGGCAAACACATCGGGGCTGCGTTCTGTTACACACCTCGTAGCGTTCGTAGTACTGTATTATTTTTTTCAAGTTAACGTTAGCGTAGTGGGTGAGTCAAAGTTTCTAGGTAGCTCCATAGTGATCCTTAACCATAGCAACCACCCAGATTGTTCCGTAGTGCTCCATGACGACACAAACCGTTCAGTTCTCACCATAATTCTAATATTGTGTAAACCGTATCCAAACAGTTACACAATTACAGAATATTTTCCACTTAAAAGAGAAAGGTGAGTTACAACATTGAATAACATCAAATAAATATGTTAAAAAAAATAATTACCTGTGTTATTTACACCGAAAATAACTGGACAACTTGTTAAGTATATCAAGGTTCTGTAATTGAGATTTTAAGTTCTCACCATTTCAAAACTATCTAATTCATTCTTTTCCTTTATGAAATATAATAAATAAATAATTAAAAATTTATATAAAGATAAATCTATTTTTTTTCTATAAACTTAAGGACTTTTTTAATGAAATTAGTTTGAAGTTTATAGAATACACGAACGGTATTAAGAGAAGGTATCGTTGGGGCTTGGTGTTGAGAGCGTCTGACCCAAACGTTTACTGACGCCCGAGGTTTAATATATTAATACAACATGAGTAAAGCACATCCTCCTGAGTTAAAGAAGTAAGTTAAAATACACTTTTGACTAGTACTATGATATATAATTTGAGTTAAAGTCGTTTTTGTTAGTTTTTGAAGTTCAGTGTTCTTGACTTGTTCTGACCATGTGACTCTATTGTATTTAGGTAAAAAATTGTTACCTGTATACACCTTTGGCTAGATAAATACTAAGATGGGTAAATATTATGTCATTGGCTGTCCTCAGAGGTTCCGGTACGAGAATAGGGTAAAGGTGTAGATAATGGCTACCACCAGAAGTTTTTTGTTGATTTTTTTTTATTTTTGCTTTACTTATTGTTTTGATTAATTTAAGTATGTAAAAGAAACGACAACTTTCTATTATGAATTTATTTATTTTTATTTACTCTGTCCCGCTGCACAATTCACCTCCCTGTGTCATTATCGCGGTCCAACGAATTACCCAAAAGTACCCAAATGTATATTAAATCAGGGTAAAATCTTAACGAATATATGTTTTAGGTCAATAAAACCTGATTAATAATGTTTTCATTGAAATGTAGTCAAAATAATGAAATAATAAACAGCGAAAAATGCTAAATTCCAAAGAGTCACCTATCCAAAATGGAGATATAATTACTGATGTTTCTGTTACTTTGGGGTATTTAACATAGCCGTAGGTTTACTTTTCGTTAGGTTAGGTTAGCGAAGTGCATCACGATGGATCTGAGTTATCTCCCTTGCTCGAAGCCATTGCTGGTGACTCTCGCTTGAGCACTGTGGTGGTAGAAATAAGGTGTCAGCCCGATGTTAAAACAATTAAGCTTTGAATTTTGTGAATCGGATGATTGAATCCGTGGTATATTAAGGGACTTCTATAAAAAAATATTTACTTTCCTTATACAGGGTAACTGGAAATAACAGCCTCATATTTAAATCCTTTTTAATAATATCTGTATCCATAACATATTCCCCTGTGCATTATATATTACTGTATATACAGTATAATTATATATCCTTGTGTTTTATGTTGATCTTCTGCTCCAAGTGCAATTCTAAGGGAATAGTTTTGTGTATTAAGAATTATTTTGCCATTAAAAGTGATTGATTTCATGTAAAACTTAATTAATTTACCTTCTGTTTTTAATTAGGTACATGGACAAGCGTGTGATGACGAAGCTCAATGGTGGCCGCGTGGTAGAGGGCACTTTACGAGGCTTTGACCCATTCATGAATCTTGTGGTTGATGATGGCGTGGAAGTCCGCAAAACTGGTGATCGTGTTAGGATTGGTGTTGTTGTAAGTATTCAGTATTTCAAGATATTCATTTAAAAATTGGAACTGTATGAAGGACAAGATTTTAATATTTCTTTCAACTCTGGACAGTAGTATCGTGAATATATATATATATATATATATATATATATATATATATATATATATATATATATATATATATATATATATATATATATATATATATATATATATATATACCAAACAATACCTCACTAGTCGGGAATCGAACCCTGGACCTCTGTTTGTGAACAGGGATTGCTACCACTGCGCCACAAGGACAACAAAAGCAACAATTGCAGGGTCTCAATTGTTTCTCTTACTTTGACAACACAACATACAGTACATACAGTACTGTATATCGTTTCTCACTCTTGATTTATTTTTTCGTCGTTTTATTTATTTTTGGTTATTATTATTTTTAGTATTTTATTTTTATTTATAGTAATTTGCTATTAATTTTATTAATTGTTGTAATAATAATAATACTAATAATACATATTATTATTATTATTTTTAGTATTATTATTATTATTATTATTTTTTTATTATTATTTATTATATTTTTGCCCTGATGTGGGTCAGTGACCTGTGCCCGGGTGGGCTAATCCCCGTCAAAAAAAAAGTTGCTGTGTGGCCTGTAAAACCATCTGTTTGTAAAATTAATTCTGAAAGGCCGGTTGATGTAAGTTTTTATGTTTATGTACAGTATTTCTATACTGTACCTTTTAGTTCAGGAAAAAATACTGATTCAACTAATTTCCCCATTTTCTTCTACAGGTAATCCGTGGGAGTAGCATAATTATGCTCGAGGCGCTAGACCGCATATCTTAAGCTTAGAAAATGTATAATGTTACTTGTATTAGTACTGTACTGTCCAGTCCATTCATAGATGTTTTTTTTTATTTTAGATAATTTTAAGTTTTTTCTTTTTTTGTATTAAGAAACAGAATTTATGAAAATGTTTTACTTTACTGTATAATGTTTAGCCTATAAAATGCATTTTCATCTAAATTCTTCATTATTTCAATAAACTTTTTAACAATGTCAAGATTGTCCTTCAGCACCTAAGGAAGAAATGGAAGTTATTTTGTATTTAATTCTTATATTATTATTAATAATTTATACATACAGTACGCCGGATAATTCGCTGATTTTTATTTAGCGGCCTTCTATTATTCACGGATGACACCCTGGATGTACCCAAGATTGTCTGTGGGTAGTTTTAATATTGCCGTCATTTTTGCGGCTGGGACAGAGAGCCATTCGTTCTAGAGACAGTAATTTCCTTTCCCTATACAGTATTGTATATATGTGATGTGATGTGTAGACACACACACACACAAAACACATAAAAATATATAATAATGGAAAAATCCTCTCACAAATAATCAGAAACAAATTTATTAAAAATGTTGAATCTACCCATAAGTCCACTCCGTGGTTTATTAATAACAAAGCACGGATTAGACGAGGGTAGACACACGTTTTTAATACATTTGTTTCTAATTATTTGTAAGAGGATTTTTCCATTATTATTTATTTGTATGTGTTTTGTGTGTGTTTAAATACACACACACACACACACACACACATATATATTGTGTACATAATACAGGTAAAAGAAATAATTGTCCTAAAGGCAAACATGTAAAGGGAATATACATTTCTTTGTACACAAGTAAAAATGTCCCCCCCCTCCCCTCCCCCTGATCAGTAAATGTTCGCGGATTTGGTGATTTGCGGCCATTTTGAGAACATAACCACCGCGAATATGAAGGGCCTACTGTACTGTATTGCAAAGTTATAACAACTTTTAATGGCAAGTAATTAATGCCTCAGTGATTGAGCATTTGAATAGCACCCGAAATGGTTGAAAAACAACCCAATTGAGTACGGTACTGGGTATATTGGCAAAGATAGGGAAGTCCCATGTTTTCGCCTGCATTTGGCTGCCCACCAGCTGTAGTATATTGGTTTTAGGGCTTAAATTCCTTAACATTTTAGTAAATATCAAGAAGGTTGCACTATTCAATAATTTTAAAAGTTTTATATTAAATTTTTTAGTCATTTTAACAATTATTGAACATAATTGAAGTACAGGAAACTAGTTTTTTGCACGCCAAACAGCCACTCAACACACCAAGCTTGGCGTCAGTTTGTTTACAGGTTCAGAGGAAGGAACATCTTGTTTGAGACTCTTCAACATAAATGCTTTATTTCTGTGTTTCCAGTCAAATTATTGGTCATTTTGAAATATATGTTACATATTGATAATATATAGCACAGTGCAGTGTTGATTTAAAGAAAATAATCTTGAATTACATCAAGTGAACTAAAATTTTATGTGTGAAATGGCGCCATGGGGTGACTTCTATTCCACCCCAATGCCTTCTCTTCTCCCTTCTCCTCCACCCCCATTCTAATTCCCATCATCATCATCCAGGAGCCTTCTACATACACACCTCAAAGTAAGTGTACTTTACTACCTTTTTTGTTGATTTTAGGCAATTTTCGGTGAGCTTGAACCAATTACCCAAAAACCCATTGAAACAATGGTTTCAGTTAACGAGCAACCTTCTGGAACGAATTGTGCTCGTTAACCGAGGGACCACTGTGTGCAAGATGTCAAGTTTAGACACTTGGAAACTTTTCCCAGTAACCGGAGAAGATTCCGGGGATGAAGAATTTTTCCGGGTTTGAGAAAGTTTTCTGGTTAGTCGGAAATCTCTCATCCCCGGAAGTGCCCTGCACCAATTGTTCCAGCTAACGGGGATATCACTGTATTATACAATATGTAAATGACCACAGAATTTATCTTATGAATAAAGAGAAAACTGTATACCTGTAATACTTTACAGTATACTATAAAAAGAAAATACTAATTGAAGGGGTATATTGTGTGTGGGAGATGAGAGTGATCTGGGAGCAGCAGGTGGGGAAGGGGGGGGCACCAGTGGGCAGCTCTCCCCCAAGGTCCCTTTAACACATCATTATGCAATTTCACCATAATTCTCATATCATTTAGGTTCATTTGGTGCTGCGTTGATAAAACATTTATCATAATAGAATCAACTTTCCTTAAAAAAAATAAATGAAATGATAAGCTACAGTTTGGGGATCTGTAGATACACCCGACAATAAGTAAGTCTCTCCCCTTTAATTTAATTTTACACCACTTTGATTCTTCAAAAACATTCTCTCCCTGTACCCTCACCTGACTGGCTCTAAGGTCTTGCCTAGCATAGATAACCACACCCCTCTTGCAAGTTGCTTGAGAAAGGTTGGTAAACGAATCATATCCGTCAATACTGAACTCGCATTCCTCCGGGTTGATTCTCCTGTTCTTGCAACAGTTCTACAACACTTACTATATCGGGTTGATGTACCTTCAATAGTGTTTCAAACTGCTCTCTCTTATCAAGGAACGTGTCATTATTAGTGTACAAGACTTTCAAGTTGGAATTTGTTCTCGGTAACATCTCTGCCTTTGGCAATGACTGCGGCCCTCCTCCATTCTCAGTAGCTGCAGCATTTGCTAAATACATTGTATTTGCAGGGTGTGGTCAGATATGTCATTGTTTATGTGGCGCATGTTTCCACCTGGGTGGGAGGTAGAGCGGGTGGGTGTCCCTCCATCCCCTGGCTCTGTGCTGGTGTTCTTGCTTCCACTACCCTCCCCCTGGATATAACCCATGTAAACTCGTCCCCGTTCCTCCGCAACTCCTCCCTCCGTGTGATCAGGGCGAATGAATTTTTTCCGACATGCATTGCTAAGTTTTCTTGCCTGAGGGGGCGAGGCTTGTCCTCCTGCTTTTCAGCTTCCTCCGACTTAACAGTAGGTCTGCTAGTTGCCACCTCTTCAACACACTTCTTCAGAGTCCCTAGCTACTGTAGAACCTGTTCTGATCTTGCGTTCTCTCCGCCACCTTCTGTGGCCCTGCTAAAGCCTGAGCATAATTTTTCTTCACTACTCCCTCCATTGTATCAGCTACTTCCTCAGTCTTAGCGAGGATCTCTTTCCTAACTTGTTCTAGTTTGGCAACCAGCAGGGATCCAGCTTCATCTATTTCCATTCCTAGGAATCTCATTCCCCAACTGTTTGCAATTGCTTTGTTTAACGGTTTGCAATCGCTTCGTTTGCAGTCCAGGAAATACTAGCAACAGCTTCCATGCTTAACCTGAATGCTATATAGCCCAGACCTGCACAATTTACATCATATATCATCCTGCAGTAATTGCAAGTCAACATACTTCTGGTGATGCTGGGTTTAGCCCCCTGATTCCCTGCACCTCATGGCTGTTGGGGGGGTGTGCTGATTCTGTACGAATCTTCTCAGCCTTAAGCCCAGTTTACAATGTGGTGTAATTCTAGTTGTTGGATTAATAATAATATTAATCTTTATTATTACTGTGACAATCGCTTCTACTCTGTCTTGGTAGCAGGGCTTTAGTGTCAAGGTCCCTTTAAAGCCCCCCCTGCTCTCATACTTAGGCCCTTGTGGCAGACTAATAAATAATTAGTAATACGTATTGTAGTATTACAGTATTTTCATCTGCACATACCCCAGTTTATTCATTAATCACTTGTCTAAGTGTACAAATTGCCAAATTGAGCCATCACTCAAAGGTAATAAATAATATTGTCAGGAAGACATCATCTTATCAAATACTATACTGTACAGTATGTTATAGTGACCTTGTTGTATGCTGATTTGCTGAAAGCTCTCACATGAATAATGCATCCTGAGTGAATATAGTACCTTCTGATACAGCTTATCTTTTGAAGTCAAATTACATATTGTATTTTTACTATATTATTGAAGATGTTATACAAGTATTCATCATGATGACCATACACCACAAGAGGATGATCATATGAGAATATAAATCAATAAATAAACCTGACGACTGCGCCTGATGAATGTGGCAACACCCGATCAACCTCCCCTGCTTACATACACAGTGTCTTAGCTTCCATTAGGTCTACAAGCAAATCCGATTTGACCACTACAGTATTCAGTGAGCAAGTGTTGATCTTTTCATAAGATTTCTTTTTTGTTACCCATTTCCTAAAATATGTACCCTATATACCCGTGTGTAGTTCGAGTTTTTAAGACCAAATTTTTTGGCAAAAAATTGGGGGTCGACCTGTACACGGTTACTGCCAGTAAACAATGGAAACGACGCACCACCAGCTGTGAGTGTTGGTACAGTTGCCAGGGCAAATCTTTTGTGTCATCATAGCAAGCCCAAAGTGGCCAAATGCATGGTATAGTAGAACAGGACGATGTAAAACATAAAGTATTAATTTTTAGAAGTTTATTTATAGATACATCAATCTTTGTTAATTAAATTTGAAACAAAAGAAAACTACGATACCGTGTTTCTGAATATTTTCATTAAAATCTAACATCACAAGTATATTTTACCTTAACTGTGCCTGAATGAATATATTCTCAAGCAAATATGGAAATGTAATATTTTTGCCGAAATGACGTACGTATTACAGTGGAAAGTGGGATAAAATCGTGACGAAAACAATGACTTTCGCTTTTTCATTCAAAAGATGTTACCGTAATCGCTTTACGAATGGTTTTCAGTTAAAAAACTGTTATTACAATAATATTCTATCCTAATTCACTTGAATAAATACTACGATACCATATTTATGAATATTTTCATTAAAATCCATCAAAATCATTTTCCTTGTCATCATCTTCAGCACACAGTTGCCAGTTTCAAGAATTTCTGTTTAAAATTTTAAGTTAGAGTATTTCTTTTCCCAAATCGTTTTACAATACAGTGACCCCTCCGTTAACGAACTCAATCTGTTCCAGAAGGTCGTTCGTTAACCGAAAAGTTCGTTAACCGAAACCATTGTTTCAATGGGTTTTTGGGTAATTGGTTTCAGTTCACCGAAAATTTCCTAAATTCAACAAAAATGGCAGAAAAGTTCACTTACTTTGAGGTGTGTATGTAGAAGGCTCCTGGATGATGATGATGATGATGATGATGGGATTTAGAATGGGGGTGGAGGAGAAGGA